ATATATATAATTGTGCATCCAGTTATATATCAAAATAAATGAAACCGTGAATGAACCAATGATTTTCAAAAGTGTCCATATGATTGTTATAAGCAGTCAAAAGAAAACTTCATACGAGTTTCTTTAAACGTTCAAACTTTGCTTTAGCGCATAATATCCTGTGCTTCTTAAAAAATATTAAGTGCGAATAACTTGCATAAACGTGTTATAGGGGCACGTCCAGCGCCTTTTTGTTGTCGCCAGGCAAGGAGACCGCCTCGAGGTGATACTCCATATCCGTGTGTTGTGTCGCTGGCTGCCGTTCTGCTGTATTTTATGCCCCACATGGTCTAATCTGAATATACAGTGATAAATGGAAAAGGTTTGGCTATGTTAAGAGGCATAGTAAGGCACAGTTTAACCGCCGGCCGCCAGTTTCAGTACACAAATGCATTTAAAATATTCCACAAAACTGCAAATTATTACGTTCACAATAACATTTACATAAAATCAAAACAGAACATAAAATCAGAACATGATACATATGTCAAACACCCATATTTATTGTGATCATCCTGTCATTTATTATAGGTTTGTAGGATGGCTGGCAGGGGCCATATTACTGAAGATCCTAACATGTATATTCAGTTACTTAACAGCAATGTTTTTTGAATCGGTGCAGCTCTAAAATGTTAACCATTTACAACTATGTGTATATATGTTATTTAATAAAAGCTATTTGATAATATACCTGCCTATTGGTAACCTTAGGTGAATTTGCTCCCTCGCCAGGTTAATGGCATAGTGTCTACTACTATTTCAAGCACATTCCTGCAAAACGGTCTATAAACCAGCAATTAACAACAATTATGGCACTATATATTACATAAAATGAGGCATAGATTAAATAAAATAAAAATATTGTATCAAATGGCATGATGCACCTGTGCGAAGTTAAAAATATTAAATGTTCTTAAATTATTATATATTTAAAGTGTGATTAAATTGAAATAAAATTACTGTGGGTCTATAGGATCAAGGGGCATAGTTTGTGTGGGTTTTTTTAAATATTTAAAAATTGCTCTATATTATAGCTCTATTACTATCCGGCAGTGGGCTGAACCTGATCTAAACCAACCACTCCACATGTGAATATTATACATGAAAGCAATATTAGATAATATAAAGTGACAGTAGTATTCATCTGGACTCCATAATAAAATTGCCCATATCACTATATATTCCTTATAAAACATGTTAAGTTAAATTCCTTTATTGAGACCCATTGGAGCCAAAGTGTTCATTTCATGTATCCATTTTGATTCCTTTTTACTGCGTTCCCTTACTTTATCTCCTCTCCAGTGAGTGGTATGTTTTTTTCTATACCCCAGAATTCCAACAAGCTAGAATCTTTATTATGTTTAGTCCAAAAGTGTAACGATAGATGGTTATGTTTATATCCCCTATTAATGTTATATACATGTTTCTTTTATTCTTTCTTTTAAAGCTCTTTTTGTTCTACCAATATATAGGAGGTTGCAGGGGCATTTAAGGGCATACACCACTCCTTTGGTCTCACAGGATATAAATTGTTTTATACTGTATTCCTTTCCTGTCCTTGGAGTTTGGAAAGATGATCTCCTTCTTTTGGAATTTTATATTTAACTCTACTGCAACTATAACCTTTCCCACATGCAATAAATCCTGTTCCCTGGAAAAACGTGGGGTGGTGTTGGAGGAGGGAGGCTCTGATATTTTTGACCAACTTGTCCCTTAAGTTAAGAGCTCTCTTATATATAAGTTTGGGGCATTGTGTTTTAAATGTTTGTCATGTTTCAATTTGCTCCAATGTTTACTTATGATGCGATCTACTGCTTCGTATTGTGTGTTTGTATCCTAACGCCACTGGTACATCAAATTTTTCTTTTTCAGTGGGTGCCTTATCCTGTAGTAGGGATATTCTGTCTTTCTCCTACTTTTATTCTTTCTCTCTCAATATCTGCTAATGGGTAACCTTTCTGGATGAATCTATTTGTTATAATCTGACTCTGTGTGGCATAGTCAGACATATTTGTGCAGTTTCTTTTGATGTGCATAAATTGCCCTCTGGGGATGTTGGTGAGCCAAGGTGTAAAGTGACAACTAGTTGCAGGAATATAACCATTTCTAGCAGTATTCTTAAAATATGTTTTAGTGTAAAGGTTGTTATCCTTAATAACTTTTATATCCAAATAATGTATATTAGTATTACTAATGTCCCAACTTAATTTTATATCTTTGTTACTCTGATTCATTATTTTAAAAATATTTCTGTAGCTTGCTCATATCACCTTCCCAATAATTATCAGAGCATCTATAAATCTTCTATACAGTACAATTTCTTCTTTCTTGCTGTCAAATACCATCTGTTCTTCCCATTGACCAAAATAAATTCGCTACGCTGGGAGCAAACTTTGCTCCCATAGCTACTCCCATTGTTTGTAGATAATATTCTCCTTTTATACCAGAAGTAGTTATGCTTTTTAAGCAGAATGTTAAACATTTTAATAATAAACTTCTGAGTGTGTGTGTGTAGTATTTCCTTAAAGCCCATATCGCTACTTGTATTGCCCCTTTTTTACATTTAGTAGTTTTTTAAACATATCATTGTACCTGTTATCTGTGGGGATAGGGTTAAAGATGGATTTATTCTTAAGTAGTGTGTGATGCACTTTCATGCCCTCATCGAATTGTGTTGAGGGTACCTGTGGTTGTAGAGCATTATGTTTTTTAATATTCGAATTTCTGACAAATTTTTGGATATTTACATAAGTGTCAAATTTATTGAGGCTATTTTTAGGTGTGAATTTAAGTCCCTTGTCAAGCACGAATATCTTTCTTCGTAAGTAAAGTTTGCACGTTTGAAGAAACTCCTATATGGATTTTTTTGACTGATTATAGCCATCATATGGACACTGTTGTTGAAAATCCTCATTGGTTCATTCACTTTTTTTCTATATTTTTTGATATATAACTGGATGCACAATTGTATTTATTTTTGTAATCAAAATACGCAAGCGAGAACTAATAAGGAGAAATATAAGAGCAGCTAACACTTAAGGTATAGGTAACCATCCCAACGACAATATGAATATAGAAGTGCAGTGCTAAAATCACACAAAATATACAGTGAAGGAAAGCAGTAAGTATTTGATCCCCTGTTGATTTTGAATGCTTTCCCACTCACAAAGAAATGATCAGTCTAAAAATCGAATGGTAGGTATATTGTAACACTGAGAGACAGAATAGCAGCAAAAAAATTCAAAAGAAATGCATATCTAGCAAATTATGCACTGATTTGCATGTTCATGAGGGAAATAAGTATTTAATCCCCTTCACAAAACATGACTTAGTACTTGGTGGCAAATCCCTTGTTGGCAATCACAGAAGTCAGACGTTTCCTGTAGTTGGCCACCAGGTTTGCACACATCTCAGGAGGGATTTTGGCCCACTCCTCTTGGCAGATTCTCTACAAGTCAGTAAGGTTTGATGACTGACGTTTGGCAACTCGAACTTTCAGCTCCCTCCACAGATTTTCAATTAGATTAAGGTCTGGAGACTGTGCTTCTTCTTGAACCACTCCTTTGTTGCCTTGGCCGTGTGTTTTGGGTCATTGTCATGCTGGAACACCCATCCACGACCCATTTTCAATGCCCTGGCTGGGGGAAGAAGGTTCTCACTCAAGATTTGACAGTACATTGCCCAGTCCATCGTCCCTTTTTGATGCGGTGCAGCTCTCCTGTCCCCTTAGCAGAAAAACACCCCCAAAGCAGAACGTTTCCACCACCATGTTTGACAGTTGGGATGGTGTTCTTGGGGTCATAGGCAGCATTCCTCCTCCTCCATACACGACAAGTTGAGTTGATACCAAAGAGCTCGATTTTGGTCTCATCTGACCACAACACTTTCAACCAGTCCTCCCAGCTACCTGAAGATCATTGACAAGATCCTCACGTGTAGTCCTGGGATGATTCCTCACTGTTCTCATGATCATTGACACTCCACGAGGTGAGATCTTGCATGGTGCACCAGACCTAGGGAGACTGAAATTTGTTTTGTGTCTCTACCATTTGCGAATGATTGCACCAACTGTTCTCACCATCTCACCAAGCTGCTTGGCGGTAGTTTGGGAGCCCAGTCCAGCCTTGTGTAGGTCTACAATCTTGGACAGCTCTTTGGTCTTTGCCATGGTGGATAGTTTGGAATCTGACTGTTTGATTGCTCCTGTGGACAGGTGTCTTTTATACAGTTAACAAAATGAGATTAGCAGCACTCCTTTTAAAAGACTGCTTCTAATCTCATCTTGTTACCTGTATGAAAGACACCTGGTAGCCAGAAATCCTGCTTACTGATAGGGGTCAAATACTTATTTCCCTCATGAACATGCAAATCCGTTCATAATTTGTTAGACAGAATGGCAACGACAAATTCAAAAGAAATGCATTTCTCTCAGTGTTACAATACACCTACCATTCAATTTTTAGACTGATCATTTCTTAGTGAGTGGGCAAACATTCAAAATCAGCAGGGGATCAAATACTTATTTCCTTCACTGTATATGAGGTGGAACAATAAACTGCAGAATATATACTGTAAATGGATAAATAGCTTTGCCGATTAAAAAAAACAAATGGCAACAATAAAGTTCACAAGTAGAAAGTGCTGATCAGTGCAATAAAGTGCAAAATAGTGAATAAAGTCCCTGACTGTATATATCAAAATTATACATTATTATTCATATAGCATACGTAATTCATAAAAATGTCCTTATGTTGATAATGTGCAAAATCAGAGTGCAGAGGAAATTACAGACCACAAGCTGCGCTTTATTCGATTCTAACAACTCTTGCCAGAAGACACGCAGCAGCAGGTTATCCGGGAGATCTTTCATCTGGTGTCCAAGTGGGATGACAATGTCTGTAATTTTCTGGAAGGAGAAAGTTTAATTAGTGGGTCTGAATACAAGCTGATTTATCACCATTATGCCACGCTGTACTTTGTGTTCTGTGTGGATTCCTCTGAAAATGAACTGGGCATTCTTGATCTCATTCAGGTTTTCGTGGAAACGTTGGATAAATGTTTTGAAAATTGTATGTGAACTGGACTTGATCGTTAATATGGACAAGCTATTTCCTTAGGACAAGGAACTTCCCTTCTACCTATACCCGGATGATACAGCAGGATTAACCCCTTGACTGCCACTGCACCCCCAGATGTGACATGATATGATACATGCCTTTTTATTATATATCTTCTGGTGAGTGTACATCCATTCAAGGTGGTGGATTCCATATGTGAATATTCACACATTCATGCTCTGCAGTTGGCGATTTTTGCACATTATCAACATAAAGACGTTTTTATGAATTACAAATGCGGGATGAATAATATTTATCATTTTTTATATATACAGTCACGGACATTCACTATTTTGCACTTTATTGCACTGATCAGCACTTTCTACTTGCAAACTTTTATTTATTGTTGCTATTTGTTTTTTTTATATAATCAAAACTATTTATCCATCTATTTATATATGCTGCACTTTATTGTTCCACCTCCATATATATTTTGTTTGATTTTAGCGCTGCACTTCTATATTCATATTTTTTTTAAAATTTTTATTCATTTATATATTTGGATATGTATCAAATATTTGTGATTGTGTACACACTTTTTTAAAGTGAAGCGTGGCACATTGTGTTTTTTTTTTTTTTTTTATGTTTTGACACACTAGTATGTGTTCGGTGCAGGCGATTCACAATTAGCACTTGTTAAGATTTATTATTCACATAGAAGCTCACGTTTTTATCAAATGCCCGCTTTTTTTGTTCTGCTCCCCATTCCACTTTACTGTACAATCCCCTCTCTTGTGGTCTACTTTGTATAGGAGCTTTTCAGTCAGTCAGCGTGATGAGTGTAGTGCTTTCTTAAATTCTGATAATATCCTGCCAGCCCTAGAAGAAAAATCTAACTTCAGTCAGTCTTCCATCCCTGTATGGCTTTTATGGTCTGTCTCAATCTCACACTTGAAAAAATGGCACTTTCTTGGGTTTGAGCTTCAGCCTTTACTGGTGCAGCCAGATCAAGACAGTATCTAAGTGTTCATCTTCTAGATAGATCAGAATACAATCTACATGGTGTCCCCAAGAGTGTGTTCCACTGCCCTCTAGAATGTGGTGGGCGCATTGTTCAGCATTATGGACATGATTTTGAACTGGCACAATCCTATGGGATTAGTAAAAGCAGACTTCAGCCAGTCTATCTTGGAAACAGATCCTGCCAGCAGGAATTGGCAGATTAACATGGAGAAGAATTTTCTCCTGTCCTGGGGTGACAAGGGATTCCTCAATTTGTGGAAGCGGATAGGCTTCCCTTGTCATAAGAGACTTCAGTTGCATATGATCCACACGATAGCAGAGGGTGCCCTTCTTCCCTACCAAGATAATTGGAGCTGCCATAGTCTCTTGCTTTCTTCAATCACTCCTTGTTGCATTATTTGTTTTAGCAATTACTTGACTTTTTGATAGAGGAGTGAGGGTATGATTTTATTTATCTTCTGGCTGGCAGGGCACACCTCTGACCTCTTATCTAATAGACTCCATAATGCTTATAACTGAGTAATGTAAACTTCTTCTGCATTCATTTTGTAGCAGTGGTAGTATTTGTTCTCCAGCATGCTTTTGGTTCTTTCCTGCCGACCATCAAGGCATATTACTCAAAGTAACAACAACCATAAAACTTTTAGAGCTCTGTGTCTCTCCTTGAGGACAAACTCAGCCATCAGTGGGGCCAGTTTGCCCAATGCTGTCCCAGGGAGCAGTCAGAGTAGAAAAGTCATGGATTCTTTTTTTTTTTTTCTTTATATTTTAATGTCATTTCTTTTTTTGGAAATTTCCAGCAAGTACAAAAGCCCAGGATACAATCACTACCTGGGGGCGTGCATATTTCAATCTACATATGACCAAAGGCATGAAGAAAATATAAACCTAAACACATGAGTCAAATAAGAAAAGGTAAATCTAACACCACCCAAGTAGGTGCATTATTAGCAAACGTATAGGAGTACTCTGTGTTCCCAAGCATAAAATGAATAAACTATCTAGAAATCATATCTGGCTAGACCGCAACATAACTCAATCCCAGTACTAGGCAGAAGAGTAGCTTACAATAACAGAAGGGAGAACAAAACAAAAAGGGGGGGGGTGTTTATGGATTCTAACTGATACCGTACCATGTTGGACCACTGCGAGAATCTTTTGGTTCTTGTATAGGGACTCAGTACACTTTGCCACCCTGCTGTTTGACTAACAGGCAGCAGGGCACTCTAGCTTGACCCGCTTCCTTTGTGCATGGTTGGGGCCATCTCTCAGAGGACTTCACAGCCCCAACATTTGAATAGTGCCCTTGGCCTCCACCAAGGTAGTGTTTTCCTTCTCTATGAGTGAGCATCCCCTCCTTTTTTCTTTCTGAGGAGTATTCCTATCTGTGTTTCAGTGCAGATAACGATCTGGAGCTGGGGTGCTCATGCCATGGAGTTTTCTTTTTGATTGCAACTGGGTCTATTGATTTCCCACTTATGATGGCCATGGGTGTGTCCAGACCTGTGTGACTCTACTCCTGACATCCTATGGTCATTTGTAACAGTTTGTGGAACTTCAATTTGGGGTTGCTTATATCTTTCTTTTTAAAAGTAGTGAAAAGTCAAAAGAAGACTCAATATTGTTGATTTAATCTTCACCAAATAAGTCAAACTAAACTACTGTCTAAGCATGGATATCCCCATTCTTCACTTAACTTAACAGAGGTCAAATCACATGTACAGGGCACTTTTGTTAATGAAGAATTGCCTTTTGATCTGGCAGCATGGCTTAATTACCCCCCCCCCCTTACAACAGACCTCGATGTCTTTTTCAACTCTGAGATTCTGAGGCTGGCTCCCAATCCTGAATTAACCTCTGCCTCTTGCCACACATTGATACTTTACAACAGTTTCTGAGGGCATTTCCATTCCCTCAACATCCTTTATCCCCCCACCCTCCCTTTACTTCCATCGTCTGTCTCCCCTTCTCAACATGCACTCTCTTCCTCCATTACTCGCCTGCCCCCCTTAAGCCTTTAAGCCTGATCTTCTCTTTCTCTCCTTTCCTTTTTTTTCATGTTTAATTTTTTTTTATTCACTTGGTTTTGTGCTCACGCCCTTTTTCCGTTCAGAATTATGCAGGTAATGTTCCCATTCCCTTCTCCTATTGCTGATCCAGTTTGGCTCTTCAGCTTCTATTGTGTGGTATGACTCTTTGGAAAGTTTCTCGTGGTTATACAGTAGACACGTTTTTCACATTTAGTCAAGGATTGTTATCTATCCTTTTTGTGTCTTATAATACCATGACTGGTTACTGTACATTATGGCTCATGACATCTAGTCAGTCACTACTGCCCTGCAGGCACACTAATTTAATGTACTGACATTACACCTGGAGTTTCTGAGCTCATATTGCATGTCGTTTCCATTCCAATGAAATCTTTTCATATTAGAAACGTAGTTATGAGCCAAATGCATGGGGTTTGGATTAGGGTTAAGTATGCCAACATAACAAAGTTTGAATGATGAATCTGATCCACGCTGAAATCTATAGGAGCCTATTCTTTAAAAACTGAGGATGAGCTTGGGTTTTGTCACTCTCGCCCACTAACTCCCAATCAACTTCCACCAGGGGCATTCCTTACCCACTTCTACATGTACACAAATGGCACATAACTAACCTGAAATGTCCAAAGTATGTCAATGTAATTGATCTAACCATACCAAGCCACATGCCCTCAAAATGGGGAGGGTATCTTGCCAGGGAAAAGCCCCTGGCAGGGTACCCTTCTCATGTACATTTTGCAGAATGGATTATTTTACCCTCTTCTTTCTGCCAACCAAGTGGGCCCTGTGATCCCCCATAGGAATCCTGATCTTCCATGGGGAGGTGCAAGATTAAAATTCTTGCTTCTCATTCTAGGACATTAAAGGCCAGGCCTGTTTTGCTAAATGGATGGGATCTCAGGAATGAAGGGGGTTGCCTACTTTCCTATGGAGTAGTACTAGGGGGTGCACACTGTCACGCCACTCCTGTCACTATTGTCTGACCTGTTTGTAGTTGCCAGCTTTAGCAGAATAGCTAATTGGCAAAATCATCAGACGGGAAGTAACTGTAGCTTGTAGTTTACTAAGCAAGTGCAGCGGTAGAAGCAATAATGCATAATAGCAAAGGTCATGCATACACTTCAGAATCTGAAACGTGAAAAGCTGAAAACTGTGCAAGCATGGACTCTTCACAACAGTCTCTGTGACCCTGTCTGGGCAGCATATTGCTACATAGCAAAGTATCTATAAGACTCTATAACAGAGTGTACCTCAGAATCACTACTTCAGTAAAATTGCTTAGACCACAGCTACTTTGAATTTTACTGAGAAGGATGCTGTTTATGAAGATGATTCAGTGTAGACACGGTAACGCATGTGATCTAAGGACAAATGGCAAGCCCACTATAACTGAAGTACTTTGATAGCAATTGAGGAGGTGCTCCACACAATAACTAGATTTTCTGGAGAAACTGCGTGCTATTACATTCTGGCTCAGCTGCCCATACACTGATACTGACAATGGAGGGCAGCTCAAATTACCGCAGATAACTTTCCCAACCAGGGGCGGACGGACAACTCATGGGGCCTCCGGGCCATAGAGGATCATGGGGCCCCTGTGTCCTTGCCCAAAATCAAAAAAACCTATGAAAAAGGTACCAGGGGCATCTCATGGGGCCCCCTACTGACCCCGGGCCCTCGGGCAGAGCCCGAGTTTCCAAATGGTCTGTCCTCCCCTGTTCCTAACTATCTCTGACTCTACTCACTAAGTGTGTCCATGAACTCAGGTAGTTGTGAGAAGCGGCGTTAAAGAGGTCTGTGCCTGTACATGAGCATGGTAAGTAAATGGGCCCTTCACTAGAGAAACCTTTTTGATCAGATGTTTTCTAGTTTCAAGTTTAATGTTTAAAGCGGAGTTCTAGCCCCCCCGCCAATAAAAATTAAAAGTCAGCAGCTATAAATACTGTAGCTGCTGAGTTTTAATATTCGGGCAATTACCTTTCCAGGCAT